GGTGGCCAGACTGGGACCACTACTCACACAGGGGTGGCCAGACTGGGACCACTACTCACACAGGGGTGGCCAGACTGGGACCATTACTCACACAGGTGGCCAGACTGGGACCATTACTCACACAGGTGGCCAGACTGGGACCACTACTCACACAGGGGACCAGACTGGGACCACTACTCACACAGGGGACCAGGAACATTACATTATTTTTTACTTGAACGTTTCTGCAGATCTTTGTGTTTTGGTCATATTCTTATGTCCTTAAAAGGCAGAGACTAACTTATAAACATGGTGTCAGAAGCATTTTAAAAGTGGGGGGACACACTGTTGGGGGGGCGGGGCACTTCTTTGTCACATCTTCAAACTGTTAAACACTGCCACCAACTGTTCAGGAGGATTACTACACCCCTAAAGGTTGTTTCACTGTGGAAGGGGTGTGTACAGCACGGTGACCAATGGGGTGGCCAAAGATTTGACTGGCGGTCATGGCCACCCCCTGGCCCCGCCCCTGTCTCTGACAAAGAACAGCTGGATTCATACTGAAATTAAAACACACAGGAAGACCAATCATTGACCTCTRTAGACACATGTGTGTAATGGATTTTAGTTATTGGAGTAAAGAGGGTTGAATAAAACGCACTGATAATTTTCCATCCATTACTACTTTGTGTCGGTCTGTCACATGCTGCAAAATCTGTAATATGTTGAAGTTTGTGGTTGTTTTGTAACAAAATGAGGAAAAGTTCAATAGATGATTCTCTTCATTTTTAATTATGAAGTTCATAGGGAACACTTTTTGTGTTTTTTTATTAGTTTTTTTGTGCGTGTAGATAAATAGTATTCAAATAATCATCACAAACTAGTAAAGAAACTATTCTAGTAAATAACTAATTAAATGCACTAATTGCAGATGCACATCCAAATAATGTTTTTGTAGATTTCCTTCACATATTCTCCAGAAATTAACATATTTTATGTATAAAGTGCTGTTCAAACACTGAACTTCTGGACTAACTTTGTACGTTTTTGTGTTTCAGAAACAATCTCTGGACTGGTTGCATTAATGCCATTACAACTCTTTGTATTATTAAACTGTTGTAAAGCTCAGTAAACTGTATGAGGCGCTGTTCAGTGACTGAAAATTATTCTGCTGATTAACTTAATCGATAAATTAGACCTAAAGCAGTGTTTCCCAAAGTTGGGGTCCCGAAACATCAAGGTGGGGTCCTGAAAAGGTTTTCAGAATTAGTTACATTTTTGTCTTTGTTGTTACAAAGTGTTAGGTTAGTATATTTA